AACATTAAAATACATTCATACATTATACAAAGTAAATATAATTTATACAAAGTGATTATTAATATACCACTACATTTTTGTATTTTCAAAAAAATAAATACATAATTTTACACAGTTTGAAAAAGTAGGTATCAACGAATTTCAGTCAAGTTATAATATTGATATTTTTTGACTTTTTAAATAAACTATTTGTATTTAACCTTTTTATCTGATTATCATCTGAGCAATGAATACGTGTTGGTTTTACAAGGATGGGTATTTTACAAAATGAATAATAACAAAATTATATTTTTTTTTTGTGTGTGTATAATACATAGGTGATAGGTACAATATACAAAATAAATAATCGAAATAATTCTTCGATTTTCAACTTTAGTATCTTTTCTGGTGGGAAAGTGAAACTATTTGCAATTTGGCGCGTTTGGAAAATAAAATTTTCAGTAGCTTTCAAAACCGCTGAGAAAACCAAAACGAAAAGGGAAAACGATTTAAATCTGTTTTTGAMAAAATCAATTTTGGTTTTTAGTTTAGCTCTAAAAAAATATACATTGAACTCAGCTGAATTTTTATACTAGATTTTTTTTACACCACACGATCTTCAAAATACTTTGACTCATGTTGAGCAATTTATAAGCGTATGAAACTTTCGATTTTTATGGTCGTCTGAAGTATATATTTTAACAAATTGTAAACATCAAATGGTAATCAATATATTATGGTTTTAAAGTAAGTATAATGAATTGTTCTTTGTTGTAAACAATTAATGATTAAAGCAAAAACATAAAAGTTAGTATTTCTATTTTCTAGTAGGTAAATACATTGCATAAAACAATATAACATCTGCACATATACCTACCTAAAAATATTATTGTTTATTATGATTTATTATAATATATTATATAGTTTTAAGTTTATAATAACTGTTATATAGATGTGACATAATATTTCATCCATAACATTTATTAATATTATATTCTCGCTTACCTACATATTGCGAACGGCGAACATTATACTCGAATGGATTGAATTAGAGTTTGACGTTTCTGTTTCGATGCACAGTGAAGGGTCGCCGTAACGTTTAATAAAAAATATAAATCAATATATTAAATTGTAGGTAGTTATAGGACGTAAGATTATAGGTTTCTATATAGGCTATGGTATAGTGGTACTGTGGTAACGTGTTCATGTGTGTGAATGTTTAATTAATTAATTTTCATGTGACCAGAGTAAACACTAAACGGTGTCGTAGTCGTCGTACCACTCGTATAAGTCTTATGCCACTTATCGTGCCGTACAAATAATGACGTTTCGATAACATTAAAATAATAATAATAGTATAAAAAATTAAATTCAAAGGCTCTTCGTTACGGCATCACAGCGCAAGTCAACTACCGCTGCATTGCCGCATTGGAATAATGTTGCTGTGACGTACTGACGTGAGACGTGACCACGTCGATCAACGTCGTCAAACGTCCCGCCAAAAGTGCTTAGCGGAAAGCAAGTGCACGACTGTGTCGTCACGTCTCGTCTGTAGTGGTCAGTGGCAGTGGGTATTCACTATTCCGGTCTTGGTACTAATTGGTAGGACATGTTAATGCCGCGTCCCAACACTGCAATATTATTGTTCTGTGATCGAACAGACAGYCCAACGACAACGACCGTTAGGTTGGCTGCACTGCAGATCCACCGCGATCGGGAGACGTACGTGCGCCCCACAGGATCAAGCGTACACGGTGAACAACTACTTTATCCGTGCGGCACGTGGTGGGGGTTGCGGTGCGCGGAAGGGAAGGCAGGAGGAAGAGTGGAGGAACGAACGTTTTTGTTGATGCGAGTCGCGAGTGTTACGACCGTTTCGCGCGACGTCATTTATACGTTGATTGTGTGACTATAGATGTTATTTTTTGCCCGTTTTCTCGAAAAACGAATTGAACTGCGAAAGACGACGCCCGCCCGACAGACGAACTGAACACGAAACGCGAGCCGCCCGTGGACATTCCGCCGTTGGATTTGGTAAGTTGTACTTTCGTGCTCGTACTTACCGACGGTTGAGCAGTGCCGGCGAGAAACCTCGTTGTTCGCCGAACACCTGACCGCCGCCATTTTGTCACGACGGTGGCGTGATGTTATTGTTTTTGTTGTGGTCGTCGTACTTTGATAAACTTATAGGCTTCCGGTGACGGCGGCAAAGAACACGCATTTGACGTTAGGCCGGCAGCCAGCCGAACCCGTGACGCGCCTAATCGTCGTGGCATGTCGCTTTATGTGCTCCGAATTTGTGCCAAACATGGCGTGCCACTTCCTGGTAATGACCCAGAACGTAGTATTTGATACTCATTAACGGTTGCGTTCTAATACTCGTAGAGTCTTAGCTACCATTATGTAGGGTTTATATCTTGATTATTTTTTTTGGATTAGTGTTTTTGCCTCATTTGACCGTTTATCGATTTATTTCGCTGTCCCTTAACACTCGAATACTGTAATAGTCGATGGCGGCTGATAAATCTTTTCAATTAATCACTGCTATGCCGATAAATCACCTGTATAACACCCCATATGCCGATATCTCGTTCACATAATATTCGTCAAGTAGATGCTCGCCTACTGTTCACTACAGTCGTGTGTATTCAGGCTAATTGTAAATACGGTTATTTAAAAACCAGTCAGACCTCTTATGAACGTCGGTCACGTGTATTGTTCTGACTTTTCTATATTCTATTTTTAGTAGTAGTCAACTCGAATTTCGATAAACTCTTATGTTTTATGACACTGCATCGTGTCCAGTTTTCTTAAAATTTTGCTTTGAATTTAGTTTGTCCAACTGTTCAGTTGATAGTGTTTCTATGAAATTCGCAAGGTGGGTTTTGTCAAAATAATAGTTAAATAGGTATTAGGTGAGATAGATTATTCAAAAATTATATAAAATTATTGTAATTATTAAAGTATTTTGTATATTAAAACTTTTCCTACCTATTATTTTTAAAATTATCTTATTAACAATTAAATTTTAATATATTCATATTTTGTAAACCAGTTATTTGATTAATTTTTATCTGTTAATTGAAACATTTTAACTAGGCTTCAGATTCATATCTCTGATTAAGTATACTAGTACCGTAATAAAGTTATTTGATTCACATTACATTTCTGTGTAAATTAAAATTAGCACTGAAAAGTATTGCACCTTCCCAGAGATTTTCTAACTTATTAAAATTTTAATAATAGTTCAAAAATGTATTTTTATTAGAGTTTAAAAATTAAATTGTGCATTCTGTTTTCTTTTCTATATTTATAATTTTTTTTTTTACATAATTTCGGTAGTTATTATTGCCCAATTTTTATTGATTTAACTATCCAAATTAATAAATAAGAATTTTTTTAATTGCTTATATTTATAATAACAATTCACAAGTTGTAGTTTTATCTTCATAATTTGAATATATATTTAATAAATCAATATTTGTATTACTAATTTTGAAAATGTGACTTTAACAACAATATATTATTCAGGAAGGTTATTACAGAATATTATTATACTATTTAAATCTGTCTAATTTGTTCAGTATTAACAAATGTTAGTGGTAAAACCCATTGATATATTAGATTATAGGTTTTGTAATGTCTTGATAAACATTTAATTGACCATTGGAGAGCTTTAAAAGTTAAAATTAGAAATTAGATTATTTATTATGTTTCTCTATTTATATAAAACATATTTATCATGTTTAATGGTTGATTATAATTTTTTTCAGGTTTAATAAAAGTTTTTCCATTGGATTCTGCTTTTTGTAACTCTTCGTTGATAGAGTGTTATCAACCAAAGAAAAAGACATTATTTTCATAAGTGAAATAAGTTTTCTATGATTTAACTTACATTTTTATAAAGACAAAAGTGAATACTTCATGGTATTTTTATTAAATGTTGGTTATTTTTTTATTTGTTGTACATAATAAAGTTTAAGTAGACACGTTTTAGTGTTAAAAAGTGATTGTTTTATCATAAATTTAAACAATTTTTTTTTGTGTACACACGTTGGTTCTTTAGAACCTCAAAAAAGTTTAGATGCTTGCTGCAAATCACAATAACTCAGGGATTAACCTCAATATGCCCAGCAAACAGTTAAACAGAATGTAAGTACCTAATGATAGTTATGTTACTTATTAAAGCAACTGTATAATTATTTTAATATGTTCAGTAGCTTCGAAGGAATAGATGATGCAGGTTGGAAGGCCAAACTTAAACTTCCTCCTCAAGACCACAGGATTAAAACAAGTGTACGTAACATATTCAATGAATACATTAAAATAAATTCAATATTTATTTTTAAATATGACTATAGGATGTTACTTCAACCAAAGGAAATGACTTTGAAGAATTCTGTTTAAAACGTGAATTATTAATGGGTATATTTGAAAAAGGTTGGGAAAAACCTAGTCCTATTCAAGAAGCAAGTATTCCTATAGCACTTTCTGGCAAAGATATATTGGCAAGAGCAAAAAATGGCACAGGAAAAACTGGGGCTTATTCTATACCTGTACTTGAACAAGTGGACCCAAAATTAGATGTTATACAAGGTAAAAGCATTATCATTTGCTTGTTTTTTATTATTATTACAAATCAACTTTGTTGTAATTTTGTTTCAACATTTTATTTTTAGCACTTGTGATTGTGCCTACAAGAGAATTAGCATTACAAACTAGTCAAATATGTATTGAGCTTGCAAAGCACTTGGACATTAGGGTCATGGTGACTACTGGTGGTACTAATCTTAAGGATGATATTCTTCGTATTTACCAAAGAGGTAAGATTCACAAATAATAATGTAATAACTAATTATTATTTTCTCGAAGCAAGACTTAAGCCATGGTTTACATTAGAAGTCATTGAACGATTGAACATATTCATTTTAATCAAAAATACCTTCTTATTTAATATTTTATTTTAATCTTTCAATTACTTGTATAATTATTATAAATTGCATTTTATAATTATAATATAATATTATGTTTTTAGGTTAATATAAAGATAAATTTTGAATTTTGCTCTATGATGAAAGTTTTTGGATTCCCCTTCACTTAAAATATTTATGAGTGAAATTTATTATTTGAGAGCTTAAATACCAAATAATGTTTTCTTCTGAATTATATATTTATGCTTATGTACTAATAATAGATTTTCCATTGTTGAAGTACTGTAATAAATTGCTTGTTAAAGTATATTACATATTCTACTCCATGATGATATATTTTGGATTCCCCTTCACTTAAAATATATGAGTGAGATATAATATTTGAGAGTTTTAAGTCCTATACTTGACATGTTTTTATGTACTATAAAATCTTAATTTATTTATTTAAATGTCTCATATTCTAGTACCTACAAGTATTTATTATTTATCAAAAAATTATGTTATATTTTTATAACTTGWATATTAAATTGACCTGCTCTATGATGATATACTTGGATTCCCCTTCACTTTAATTTTATATTTTTATGAGTGAGAAATAATTTTTGAGAGCAATTTACAATTTATTAGTTACAGTAGATTTCTTAGAAAAGTACAATAAGTATTGCTTATTATTTTAATTAATATACCCAGGTATACTTAACCTACTATATATTTCATCCAACAAGTATTTAAAACATGTTCATGGTCTTAGATTAATAAGTATGGCAACTATCCCCCTATTATGAAGTTCTTATTATCTGGTCTTGGTCTAGTGGCACCATCTACCGGTCATAATATAATTATTTCATTGATACATTGTCGAATTAAAAAACCTAATTAAGACTATGGTTTTAATGATCCATTGAACATTATAGCATTATTTTGCCCATAATAATCTATACGCTTATGACTAAAATACCTCTTAAATATACAGACCTACGTTACATACATTGTCCTTTTAAAGGTCTAAAATTACTTAGGTACTAATTATTTATTTAGTTTTGTTTTACTAATTATTTATGTAAAACATTATTTATATTTAATAAAATGACACATTATTTTTGTGTATGTAATTGTAAAACTACTGGAGTGCCTACAATTCATGTAACTCAAATTCRTTTTGAAAGTTAGGGTGTAGTTATAAGTACAATTTTAAAAATTGAAGATAGAAAATGTCAATCCAATTTATCAGAATAATCAGTAAAATAGGAAGATATTATATTATAGGTATAAAATCTAATGAAACACCATAAGCAAACAAAAATGTGCATACCAGTATTATAGTAGATAATTGTGTATACAAATACAAATAGTTTTTTTATTAAATAACATTTTGCATTCCTTACATAACAGTTTAARAGGACGCTACACCCGCATGTGTTGTCTCTGTCTTACAAGTGCATAACATTGCAAAAACTGTTTTGCGCGGGAAAGAACCGAGAAGGCTACAGTTATAACTAAGAAACAAAATTTTCCCCACATAATAAAGAGAACATTTACTGTGCAATGTTGTTTTCAATTTTTCGATATCACAAATAGAAAAAATGTTCTTATTGTTTAAAAATTCATTATTTTTGCACTTTTCAAAATCGAATAACTTTTTTTTCAGTTCTAAAACCAAAAAAATTAAAACAACGTTGCAAAAGTCGAAATTTCCTTTTATCTGTGGTGAGAATTTCGTTTCTTAGTTATGACTATCGGTTCTTTCCCGCGCGAAACAATTTTTGCAATGTTACATACTTGTAAGACGGAGACAACACATGCGGGTATAGCGTCCTCTTAACAGAATTCTAAATAATAAATTTAGAAAAGCTTTTTGTCGATGCATTAACATAATTTTAGTTTATTTTACTTACATCTAGGGCTGTTCCTACAATGTCCGGTTAAAGTTCACAGACACTTAAATGGCAGAAGCCTGCCGGTAAAAATCCCACTAACAATTAACCGACACTTAAAAAGACATTTTAAGAACCATCCTTAGTATTTTAAATTTATATAATAATAATGAACATCTTTATTTTATGGAACAAAATWCCAATCTCAATTTAAACTTAGTGTGGTGTAGACATACTTTGTAAATATTCAATACATACCTAAATTTACAATAAATAGTTTAAATTAAAATATAATATAATAATTGTAGATACCTATACTATTCATTTACCTGTAAGATCTGAATTCTGGGTATTTAAAAATGTTTTATTTACCTATTTAATAATATTTTTAATTTATTAKGTTTTAATGTTTTATACTCTTAAATAATAAYTATAATATAACAGTAAAAAATGGTTATATGAGATTATACTTATCTTTAAATGAATAATTAAATATTAAAATACAAATTACGACTAGAGCACGCTACCAGAGTGGGACTAAACAATATGAGCACTACTGATTTGTGTAAAGTGGTTGRGAAGTTTATAGGCCTGTGAAGTACTTTCCTATTATCACCATCTTTCATAATATTGAATGCTACATACACATTGAACACCGCTTACATCTAGAATGGTCTGGAAATATCCAATGACATACTAACAAAATTGGCTAAAGGCTCGTTACTTCTTCATTTTTAAGACTCAAATTTTGTTACAAAAGATGCTAGAAAATAAACATTTTAAATAAATTTGTTTACAAAAATAACATATTTTTGTTGATTATTATTGATTTCATGCTTTTTAATGTCAGTATGTACAATTTTTAATTATAATTTTTTCATTTATTCACTTATAAGTAACGTGTTATGTGTATGCATTAAAGTAGTTTATATTTAAAAGCTAAAATTGTAATAAAATTAAATTCCGAAGTATTCACTATTTTGTRTTTATTTTCTTCACTTATAGGAATCATTCAGTACAACTCGTTTTGGGACCTGCACAAAGCGAGTCTTATAAGCTGTGTTCGCTATATGTATATAACTTGAGTTTTAAGTTGTATAATCTAATATTCTATTATAGTAGATTTATTAAATTAATATATTATCCAGAAGCTGCAATAGTTGTATGATGCAGTATTTAAATTCATTAAACAAAGTCTGATTAAGTAAATAGTAAACCACAAACTTTGTTTTAAAAATCCATGATCATTAATCTTTGTTTCTAAGGTTATAAATTGTTAAAATATTAAGTAGAAACTGGTTAACTATATTCTGTATCACTAGAAAATGCATACAAATGACTGTGCTTCATAGTTTTGAGTTTTAATATTCTATCTCAATGTATTTACCAAAATTTGAATTTCTTTGTGTCAATAATAACAGGCGCTGTTTGCTTTAGTATTGTGGTAGAAATAAATGGCTATAGTCTAGTTTTGGTCATCTGTATCTCTTACAACAAGAAATATCTTTCTTAAAAATCATGTCATATTATTATTTTAATTTAATTAGTATTTACTTATATGTTAGATATTTTAAAATAATTTATTTTGATTAATTATAATTTTAACATGTTATTAACATAATAAATTGAGCTCTGTATACTATTTTTTTGATAAGCTATGACTAGCTCATGTATTACATTCTAATAAATGATGTACWCCGCTGTCTATTATTATAGTGATCAATTTTATTGTCTTATAACCCGATTACTATGTATTTTAATTTTTTTTAAATTGTATTGATTTAATTATTATTATAAATCATTAATATTTTATTTATAGTGCATGTTATAATTGCCACTCCTGGAAGGATATTGGATCTCCTAGATAAAAGTATAGCCAAAGTTGATAATTGTCGGATTTTAGTTTTAGATGAGGTAATTACATTGTACCATTTATTAAATTCCTCTTCAAAATACATACTTGAAATTTTAATTAGTTAACTTAATTATTAATTTTAAATTTAATGAGTTATCCTCGTTTTTTAGGCAGATAAACTTTTGTCACAAGATTTTAAAGGTATGTTAGATCATATTATTTCAAGGTTACCAGCTGAGAGGCAAATCCTCTTATACTCTGCCACATTCCCTCTGACTGTCAAACAGTTTATGGTGCGTATTTCAATAAAATGTATGAAAATACTCTATTGTAATGATAAATAATAATCAACATGTTTTTTATGTTTTAGGATAAACACTTACATAGTCCATATGAAATAAACTTAATGGAAGAGTTAACCTTGAAAGGAGTTACTCAATATTATGCATTTGTTCAAGAAAAACAAAAGGTTCATTGTTTGAACACTTTGTTCTCAAAGGTATTCAAAATTAGAATGATGAGCAATCATTTTTTTTTTCGTTATTATGAAACACTTAAATCATATATTCTTATTTATTTTAGCTTCAAATAAACCAAAGTATAATATTTTGTAATTCAACACAACGTGTAGAGTTACTTGCTAAAAAAATTACTGATCTCGGCTATTGTTGTTATTACATTCATGCTAAAATGGCCCAAGCACATCGTAATCGTGTATTCCATGATTTTAGAAAAGGATCTTGCCGCAATCTTGTTTGTTCTGGTATTTTATTAATCTAGTGTCTATTTTCATCTTGATTTTTTGACACCAATAAATATAAATATTATTCATYTTTTGTAGATTTATTTACAAGAGGTATTGATGTACAAGCTGTAAATGTTGTGATAAACTTTGATTTTCCCAAAATGGCAGAGACGTATTTGCATCGTATTGGTAGGTCAGGCAGATTTGGACATCTTGGTATAGCCATCAATCTTATCACCTATGACGACCGATTTGCATTGCACCGTATTGAACAAGAATTAGGCACGGAAATAAAACCCATACCTAAAGTAAGTTATTTGCACTGAAACTTATTTTTARAAAAAATACTCTCATTAAAGTATAAAGTATTAATAATTCATCAGCTCATTTAAAATACATTTTTTTATTACGTTAATTACCTACATTATTTATATTTATTACCTTACAGCTAATATTGAAAATTATCTGGATGGTCTTAAATTAATTTTGTTCCTTAATAATCCATTAAAGACGTTTGGGTTATGTTCATTTTAAATATTGTTAATGTCTTAGTGATAATATGTAATCTGACAATAACTTGAAATATATAAATCTATTTAAAGTCATTCTTAGATCTCAGATCTGTAAAATATATAATAACTAAAACATGCAGTTATGGAATCACTTAAATGAATGAGATGTTATAAATTGTTTTTGTTACCAAGATTTACTGCTAAAATAAGTTATATTAAATTGTTTGTAGTTGTTATATCGCACGAAAAATTATATATTTGATTGCTGCTTTTTCCTCAAGTTATTCATTTTGATTTATTTAATGCTAGTGTATTCAGAAAACAACTTTTTAAAAATTTAAATTTTTTGAACATATTGTAAGACATTTTATTTGTGCCATAATTGATTTCTTGTATTAATAATTAATATTTAAAAAAAAGAATGGTATGCAATAATAATATATTAATAAAAAATACACATTTAGTTTTTAGGAAAAAAAAAATCACTAATTAAAAAAAAAAAATTGTTTTATTTATTATTTTACAGGTAATTGATCCAAGGTTGTATGTTGCACGACCAGAAGATGTAGATATTAATGAAGAAATGGACCTTAGTAAATGAAAAATCTTCCTTCCCTAACTATTGTAAATATTTGTATCTATAACAAACTCAATACCTAAAACCTAAATACTTAACTTTAAGACACAAAGATCCCAAGATATATACATTTTATTTTTCAATCGATCCAAAGAAAAATTTGATTTAAAAACTATTTGCAGTTCACTTAAATTTTTATTTTAATTTCATAAATTCATAACTAAAATCTCTTCTCTTGTTTTTTTTATTATTATAAGTATTATTTTATTTTCATTTCACAAGAAATTTATGTTGCCTTGCATGGTAGTACTGTATCTCGTTTAGGTGACTAAAAACATCTTGGATCAAGCTTATCGAGAACAGTACTACATCCTTGCCACATTGGCATACAATATGTATATATTTAAGATAAAAACAAATACCCTCGCTGTTGTCCGATATATTGTACATAAGAGTATATTATTTATTATATTTAAAACATTTAAATTTGTTGCTATTGATTAAGCGAAAAGATCTCTAATGCAAGTGCGGCTATAACAATTGATCCAAATTATGTGCTGAGAATACAGCTTATCTCAGTTACAGTACAAAATAACGAACTAAAAGCTGGAACCTGTCCTACAAAATGTTTTCCTTGTATTGGCTTATGAAAACATTCACTTCAGCCCGATTGTTTTCTTACCAATTTAATTTAATTTTTTTTAATTTTGGACAGTAAAATTTTATTTTCTATTATATATTTGACCAATAAATAAATCTTTCAAAAATTTGTTACATGTTCATAATTTGACTTGGGATTTCAGGGCTGAAGTCAAATTATGTGGGGGGGAAATTTGTTAAATTTTATTTTTTTCTTAATGAAATAAATAAGTACCATTTTTGTTACAAAACTTAGAAACTACATTAAAAAATTTAATTAAAATCATATTATAGTTTGACAAAGATTGGTACTTGATTTTCTTTTTCAAAAAATAAAATATGATGTTGGCTTTGCTGCGTTAATTAGGAGTATATTACTGCTACATCAAAAAAAAATTATAAAATATTCAAAAAAAAAAAATGGTTGTAAGTTACAAAACTAATTTTATTTTTCTGAATAATAAAATCAATATTTCAATTAAAGTACTGTTGTATTACAGTTTATAATATATTTGATAATAGGACCAAATTCTATTAAACTCAATAAAATATTTTAAGTTAACTTCAATATGTAAATTTTTATATCAACTATAAATCTCGTTACCCGTTTAATTAGTRTATAACATATTATTTTCTCTATTATGTATTATTAGAATTCACTGTGTATCCAACTATTTTCATGTTTAAAAATGTATCGTTACTTACAAATTTTGTGTAAATTTGTAAATGGATGAAAAGAATGAATTGATATCAATTAAATAAATCCAACTTTCAACCACCATTAAAGTTTTTTTTTTATCCTTAAAACTATTMTCCTCGATGAATTATTGTTTTGTGAATATATATAATATTATATTATTATATTTTTCAGAGCAATAATTATAATTACTTGTAAATGGTACATTCATATTTGTACTCTTA